TACCCAGGCCGGAGTGCAATAGCACGTTCACGTCCACTACATCCTCGACCCGCTGGGCTCAGGTGATCTTTCCACCTTTAACCTTCCAAGTAGCTGGAACCACAGGCATGTGCCACCACACCCAGCTAATTTTCTGATGTATTGTAGAGATGAAGTCTTGCCAACTTGCCCGGGCTGGTCTTGAACCCATGGGCTCTGGCAATCCTCTCACCTTGGCCTCCCAAGGTGCTGGGATTATAGGTGTGAGCCACTGTGCTCAGTCTCCTAATCACCTCTTAAAGGTCCCTCATCTCAACACTGATGCACTAGGGACTAAGTGTCCAACACACAAACTTTGGGGGACACTTCAAAGTTCAAACCATAGCACTACCTGATCACATTCTATTCATTTTTTTTTTTCCAGTCAGGGTCTCACTCTGTTTTCCAGGCTGTAGTACAGCAACATGATCAAGGCTCACCACAGCCTTGATATACTGGGCTTAGGTGATCCTTTTGCCTCAGGTGCCCGAATAAGTGCAACTACACTTGTGTGCCTGCGCATGTTTTTAATTTTTTTGGAGACCAGGTCTGACTATGTTGCCTAGGCTAGTCTTGAACTTCTGGGTTCAAGTAGTCCTCCTACCTTGGCCTCCCAAAGTGCTGGGATTACAAATGTGAGCCTTTGTGCCTGGTCCTCTATTCATTTTAAAAAGGTCTGAAAAAGTCACCAGACTTTCTTATGAGCAATTAGTCACTTGCTGCTCTGAGATCATAGAACATTATGTTCATATCTCCATTATGGCCAATCATCTCTGCCTCTATATAGGCCTTCATTAATTTATCAACTCTTTACTGAACACATATTAGGTAACAAGACCTGTTTCTGGTGTTGAGGATACACCTGTGAATAAGTCAAGACTGGACTTTTATGTAATTTATGTGTAAGATAAGTAAGAAAATAAGACTGAGAACGGTGGCTCACATCTGTAATCCCACCACTTTGGGAGGCTGAAGCGAGAGGATTGCCTGAGCTCAGGGGTTCGAGACCAGCCTGGGTAACTTGGTAAGATCTGGTCTCTACAATAAATAAAAAAAATTAACCGGGACTGGTGGCGAGTGTCCACAGTCCCAACTACTCGGAAGCTGAGGAGGAAGGATCGCCTGAGCCCAGTAGGCCAAGGCTGAGGTAGCCGTGAGCGTGTCACTGCACCCCAGTCAGGGTGACAGAGTGAGACTCCCATTAAAAAAAAAAAAAAAAGAAAAAAGAAGCCGGGCT